AACTATAAAATAATAAGGTGATATCATTAAAACCAAATATTTTACATTTCTCGCATTGTGGATGGATTTTGGGTATCCACATTGATTGGAAATTGATACATCAATGAGAAAAATAAGTATATAAGAGAAATATGAATTCCCTTTGAAAATTAAAAGGTTCATTTGGATATATAAGTCATGTTTATCTTTAAATGTTTAGAGCAATTGTCTAAATTCACGAGCAATTCTCTAAATTCACGAGCAATTGTCTAAACTCACGTGATTAGATCATTTTGACTGAACTTTTAAACATATGCGGTCGACTCATTTTGGCCAACCCATTTTTATGAAAAAATTAATCTATACTAAATATTAATTGAAGAGATAATTTTAATATGTTTTTGAAAGTAAGAAGCGGAACCATTGATGCGACATCCTAATAATTGAATATTATTCAATCTTGAATTGTGATTGAGTTTTATATATCCCACACTGATTAAGAGTTGAAAGATTGACAAAAATGTTGGATATGTAAAATGAGGTCGAGATGCCTTTGTCACAACTCATGATGTTGGTTCCTCTTGGTTGATTCTCTTAACATCTATGGTTAGAGATTTTGGCCAACCCTCCGAACACATAGGGTTGGTTCATTTTGGCCAACTCTCTTTTTGCAAGAAGGGTTAATCGATATTAAAAATTAATTATATATATAATTTATTCTTTCTATATTTAAAAGTAAGAACCACAACCATCAATGTGATACCCTAAGATTGAGTATTCTTTAATCATGAATTGTGATTGAGTTTTGTCTATCCCATATTGATAGGTAGATAAAAGATTGACACTGAATGATAGATATATAAAAGAAGATTGAGGTGTCTCTGTGGCAATTCATAGGGCTCACTCCCTTGAATGATTATCTAAATTCATGGTGCTTAACTTATTTGGCTGACCCTCCTAACATATGATTTTTGGTTAATCCTCTTTTTACAAAAAAAATCTATATTAAAAGTTAAATAAATAAATTAATTAATTTAATATATAATGCTATAAGATATTGATGCGACAAATTAGAATTTAATATTTTCAAATCGTGAATTGTGGTTGAATTTGACTTCAATCTTAATCCATATTAATGAGAAAAGAAATTACTGAAAAACAGTAAAGTATATGAAACGAGAACGAATGCCTTGAAATATTGGAAGGGTTACAAATGCACTATGAAAATTTAGTATTTTCAGTTTTGAAGTATAGGGATATTTATGTGGTTCACAATTTTTTATATATCACTTGATATGTGTTATGATCAACGTGCAACGCACGGCGTCGAGCACTAGTGCTTTTAAAAATGCTACATGATAGTCAACCGTGAATTAACTCGTGCACGTTAGACCGTATTAGCATGCACCTCTCAGTCTCAGGAAGTGTGATAGCAGGTAACTCGAAAGGGAAGATAAATTGTCATTTCTTAATCGTTGCGTTGTTAAGACGACATTCTAGAGGTTAAATAGCTCTTTGTTCCTGATTTTTATAAAATATAATCATTTAGTAACCCGTTATCAAACATTTTTTTTCGATTTTTATCAGATAAATTAATAAAATTATAAATGGTTGTTTTAGAAATGATATGAAGTGACAATTGTTTAGTTGAACTTTATGTGTAGTGATTGTGGTAATATATAGCACATAAATCATAAGATACATGGTGTACATATATATCTCATCATGCAAAATATAAATTTGAACCAATTTTTGTTTAGAACAATTCAATCAAAATCAAATGATGGCATAATATCAATTCAATCAAGATCTCAAAAAACAAAAAGTTTCGATATATACATTATTGACGTAATATCAAATACAACATGATCAATCAATCAATCTACATCAGAAACAAGACACCAAGCCACGCATACGAGTATCCCAAAGACATCTTGAACGTGGGCCATGCTGCCAACACTTGGTCGTTGGTGACTCCCTCGATTTGAAACAAGTTGGTGGTCTTGAGGGGATCCGTCGATTGGCCATACGCCACCTCATGGTCATCAGGATCTGTTACGTACACCCTTATAAAGTACGTAGCCGTGGGGATATCTCTAGGAATGGTCCAAATAAAGGAGGAGTTTGAACGTTGGTATGGCCCGTCCATGATGTCAAAAGGGCAGGTCTTGTCGTTAAGCAGGTTGTCATCTGTTTTGCGGTCATCTCGGCCGCTCTGGCTAACTGGTGCGTAGCATAGCTTCACTTGCACTCTTGTGTAGTTCGAGTCCGCTGCAGTTGGGAGGGTCTGGTTGTATGACCATGTCACCGTTACTTGATCTACCCCTATCTTCAAAACTGCAAAATGGCTATAAAACCCCATTAGATTATCTTCCAAAAGAGAAATTAAACAACGTTCAAATTAAAATTATGAACCTTGGCCAGGAGTAGGTGTAGTCGAAACAATGAGGGATCGGTTAAGGGATGAGAGTAGGTGTTCATGTTGAGCATATGAAGCAATGGCAAAGCAAGAAAGAAGAAGAAGAAGAGGAGGAGGATGAACCTCCATTGAAGGGTTGACTTTTGAAGTTAAAAAGTCAATCTCAGACCAATCCCTTTGTTCTGCTACTTATTATGATTTCAGAAGTTGAACCGGTGGAATATTTATAATGGACTAGAAGGTTAGTCGCAGATTTTAATGTTTCGTTTTATATTTTGGCTTTATCGATGTTATAATACGATTTTATGTAGTTTTTGAGAAAAAATAAAATGTTTTTATTTTTTAATGAAATATTATAAATTTTTTTAAATGAGCGAAATTAGTATTAAATCAACAATTTAAAAGTTATCATTTTTTATGTAWTTTCTTTAATTTATTTTTTTATTATAATTTAATTTAAGTTTAATAATGAAATAATTTATTTTTGKTTTAATATTATAAATTTTATGAAGATAATAATTAAGTAGTCTGTTAAATTCAATGATTATCCTAATTATATTCTAGATTTTTTATATTTAAAATGAGATGTTTATCATTTATTTGATTATGTTTATCTGCAGTTACTTACACGAATTCAAATATAAAGCTTTAATAAGTTGTACTTATACACAATCTACTTGCAATTTTGAGTTTTAAGTAATATACATTAATAAACAATACTTTACGCATAAAAAATGGTTTTTAAGAGTTTTTTGTCAAATGTTTTATAATATAGTATAGATAAAATTACTTTTAATTTATATATTTTTTCTAAATTTGGTTTTAATGATGTTTCTAGATTATACTTTTTAAGACGTATTTTATAAATAAATAAAAAACAGTATATGATTGTCGGAGTTTTTGGTGTAATGCAATAATATACGACGTATACTTGGTTTTATAAATTTAAACGTTTTCATTAAGACGGTTATAGTTTTAACATACTATTTTGTTGTAATTAACTTCAGATCGCTTAAAGATATGATTATTTGATCTTTATAAAATAAATGTGTAATTGGCGAATATGCATAAAAATGACAGGTTTCATGAGACTATTTTTTATCACAAATTATGGAAATAATTAGGGCATGGTTGACTTTTAGAATGTATTTTGATAATACATTTTAAAGTCATGGTTGACTTTTAAATTGTTATAATATGTTATTAATTAAAACCTGAAAGTAATTTCATTTACATCGTGTCCGATTTTGATTGGTACGAATTAATATAAAATGCGATTCGTTTTTATGTAAAATTTTCATCAGATTTAAATTTGAAACAGGGAACGTAGGTTGGTTTTTTTTTTTACGTGTTTTAGCCTTTTGGGGGTAGTGGTTTGGAGACTATGTCTGGTGTCATTTAAGCATCGTTTATTCTCGTTGTTTCGTCCTCAGCGCAAGGCTCTCCGAGTTTGCATTGATCATTCAATATATAATTTTCCTTTTATTCCAATCTTGAGTCATTTTTATTATATTATTTTTTATTTTTTATTGTTTAATGGATCTAAAGTTGTGATTTTACCTGTTTTATTCCAATAGTAGGCTAATTAGACCTTGTGGACAAACTGTTTGTACTTCGTGCAATGCTACAGTATTGGATTTGCTAGTTTCAGAGGCTTTTTGGAAGGCTTATTGCATTAAGCTACTGAATGAACTTAGAATCTAGATTTTTGTAACTTGGGGATCAAGATCCGAAGTTTTTATGAAGACAAGATGGTAGTTACGAAACAAAGTTAAACAAAAAAAATGCAACACTATCAAAAACATATTATAAATGCAAAGAATGAAAACAAAAATGAAAACATGACGTATTTTCACAAGCTAGAATGAAATTATTCGTAAGATTTACAATATTTAATAATATAAGATTAAATCAAAAAATATTCAATATTGGACCCATTTTAAATGTATTGGTGAGACGATTATAATGGTGTAATTTATAAAAAAAGAAATATAATTTTTTTCATGTATTTTAGTTAATATACGATTATATGTGTTGATATAATAAATATGTAAAATAAAGAATGAAAAGGTAAAAAGGATATAAGTAAATTAAAAAACTAATTATGAGGGTGTAAAATGTAATTTCTCTTTACTAAATTGAAAACTTTACCCATAAATCACCTTGTAAACTTTGGTTATACAGGAAAAAAAAGTTTTTTAAAATGGCTAAAAAGTGAAATCAATTTTATGAAATGGTTATTTATGTAAATTTCCCACAATAGAAACGACAATTTTTTATTTAGTAAATTTTACATTAAAAAGATATATTATTTCAAATAACACCAATTACATATTTAAATATATTGTTGTTTTTATGTTTTAATGAAATTGTTTTATGTATTTTTTTAAAGTTAATAAAATAAAAATGATAATATCTATAATTAACATCTTTCACAATAAAAATGACTAATCAACATTTCATAATTACAAAAAAAAAAATTATGATTGGTTGAATAAAGTATGCATGGTTTATACAAATAACGTGATTTGCAAAGTAAAACTTCCCCTATATATATATAATCACATGTAACAACATATAGGGGTGTATGCGGGTTGGGTTGGGCAGTTTATAACATTTTTACAACTCAATCCAATTATGACGGTTTGGAAAAATCTCAACTCAACCCACCTCATTCAAAAGTATAACATAACCCAATCCAACCCAACCCAACCCTTGCGGGTTGAGACAGATTGAGTGGGTTGGTGGGTTAGTGGTACATAAATTTGACAAATGAAATAATTCATAAAACTTAAGTCCATAGACTATACTATAAAGCATCCTATCTAAAAAGATTACAATATGTTTATATGATGATTTTGAACATTTCAACAAGTGTTTTAGAATTATCTTTAAATAAAATGTCGTATTAGTTATTTTATAAAAATATTTTGAGAAGTGTTCCATAAACTCATCTATTTATAGGACATTTATGTTCATATAACACTTTTTCAAGTCATGTCGTATAAAATAACTAATATAACAGTTTATTTTAAAAGCGTCATATAATTTGTTAGGACGTCCAAAATCATCCTATAAACATATTGTAACTCTTTTAGATAAGACATTTTTCTTATTTCGTTCTATAAAGTATCATATTAGGATGCTTAGACATTTTGGACATCCTATAAGATCAAATGTTGTTGTAACAAAATGCTAAAACTAAACATTTTCTTTCCACTAAAGTACAACATAAAAATGGTGGGGTATTTAGATTGATAGATTCTTCAACCAAATATCTATTAATATCATTCATATTCTCCGACATATCAATTTGTTGTTGCTGCAAAAAAAATTTCAATAATTTTCTCTTATTAATTAGATTATTTGTCATCATTTTTTTTTATCGTGAATCTCTTTTGACAACTTATACATTTTAGCTAAAATGAAATACAAACATAATATCAATAAAAATTATATAAAGTTTATACCTTATAAACATATATATATATATATATATATATATATATACACATACATAATAAACATATATATATATATATATATAATTTTATAAAAATTATATATTAGCGTCGGGTTGGACGAGTTGAGCTAGGCCCAACCCAATTTCAACTCTCCTAATTGGCGGGTTAACGGTTTGGCGGGTGGGCGAGTTGGGTTTAATTGGGTTGTTAGCGGGTTGGGTTGGGTTGGGCGGGGTTTCGCAGGTTGACTGTTTTTTATACACCCTGACAACATATAATCACATGTGATACAAATATGTTAAGTTGATCGGCCATAGAGCGGGTCACTTATCCTGCAACCCTTGGTCGTGTTGACGAAGTCGCTCGTCTTTTGGATATGTTATATCAAATGTGATTTTATTCCTGTAATTACATGTGATCTTGAAACTTCTCATCTTCTTTCAAATTGACCACATTCTCATTTAAATAATACAAATTCGTATTTATATTTACAAAAGAAAATAAAACCTACATAGCTACCTAGTTGCAAGTCTAATTGCTTCCTTTTGTGGTTTTCATTTATAGATGCAAATTCGAAATGCCAGCCTTTTCGACCCGTTTGATTCCACTTTACAGACACCAACATTATGAAGTACTTGTGGAAAGGATGTCTTGTAACGGTATCCAAACTTCTGGTTCATGACAGAGTGCATCTTTGATGCTTTATGTATGATACACATTTGCATTCCGTATTTATCATTACAAGAAATATTCTTTGTGAAAGATACAGATATGGAAAATAATAATGAATAATTGAGACAAATTTTTCAAGAAATGGTATATTTTTATCATGAGACAATTTGGACAAGTTAATAAATGTAACTTATCTTGTCCATTCATGTGAGGGGGGTATCTTAGATGTGCGAATTAGTAACCCTCCCATAAAAAGTTAATGACATATTTACCCTTTTATAAGGTTTCAAGGTAACCACAAGGGTGATGCCTGATTGGTTTGAGCTTGACTCTAAAGGTCAAAAGTATCAAGAGGTCCCAAGTTCAAATCCAATAAGATCCCCTTGTGGCCACGGAAATTCAAATACGATGACTTCGGACTATCTGCAAAACAGGTGGTCGTTTGGGATTAGTCGGCTTATATAATGGGTTGTATATCCAGGTTAAAAAAAAGTTTGAAGGTCAATTTGCAAAAGTTGGTGGTCCAAAGGAAAGAAGTGGGATGCATCCCATTTCCATGGATGACCAAACACTTATGAAGTGACCTTTTCCTTGGCCCTCCTCTTCTAAAGAAATAACCTAATAACTCCCACATGCCATGTGTTATGGCTTATGTTCTATTTTTAAGCAAACTCTATGTCAAATCATATATGATACTGATATTTTATAATCGAAACTTATTGTACTACAGAACAAACATACTGTCTCAACCCACTTCTGTATTGTTTTCCGTGATTTTGATGCACATGTGATGTGTTTCTTTGAGAATATGTGAAACCACCTTAGATTACTCTTCGAAAAAGTTCTGGAAGAGAAAAAAGATATTCCTATATATATATCGAAGGAAAATTGTCCAAGTTTGGTCGATATAAGACTCCAAAACACCCGTTCAATAGAGGCCAGTGGTAGAAATTACATCAGAACAACGCAACTACATTGGCACAATTATACTGTACTTGGGTTTTTTGTATTTCAAATGTACAAATAGCTATATGAACACAAATATTCTCGTATTACTATTACATAAGAAATTATAAGATGACGTCTAATATATATAACAATTAGTCTTATCTGTTCAGACGTACGTAAATACACCTGGATCATCTTTGAATTTTGACCAGAATTGGTACATATGATGTCATTCAACTTTCCAGGCATATAGAAAAAGGCAAAACTCATGTGACCCATTTGGATCAAAGTCGTCAACTGAACCAGAGCTCCTTGACGGCTGTGACAATGGTGAAGACGGTGCTGATATCGCCGGAGATGTCGCCGGAACGGTGAGTTTAAAGATAAACAGTGCATGTCTTAAACCAGGACTAAAAAGCCAATCATGAACATCCCAATAAACTTCAACCTTGACTTTGCTGAAATGAATAGTTTCGTTACCTCTAAACTTCCATTGAAGGTGCTTCACATGAATCATCACATGTCCATCTATTCTTATCTCCATCGCCGGATCAACCCCATCTCCGCCGCCGCCTCTGTTCTTACATTCAATCGAAATCTCATGAAATCGTCCTTTTTCATGGAGCTTCAATCTTGTGGAGAACTTTTTCTTACCAAAAACATGTTCTTTTCTTGACAACAAAATGGGATCAATCAAAGCTGGCCTGCAACCTGTTTTTCTGTAAGCATCTTTCTTCAAATCACCGAGCAGAAGCACCACTTCTTGATCACAGACCACCGCCACGTAATACTCGGAGCTCGGCTCAGTCTCGCCGTGAAATTTGGCAGCTTTGAGGTCCCAAAAAACATCTAGCGCCTTACCATCGAGGCTGAACCTTTTGGACCCTTGCTTTCGCCAGAAGCACCATGGCTTTAGCTCCACCTTACAGGTGTTGTCAGCCTCCGGCGACTCAGCTCCATCGAAAGACACCGATAAACCATGAAGCAACAGGTGTTTAAACCAAGTTACGGTGATGCAACGGCAGTCACCACCGATCTTAGTCTTGTAAACGGACCGGAAAAGGGTCTGACCGGACCTTGTAACAGCTTGTGAATGATCTTCACCGGCGGCGGCTGAGAAACAAGCTGGAATCCCAATTGGGTCTTGCAGCATCTTAAAAATTTTAATGTTGATTTGATGAAAACGAGAGAGATTTCGTGATCGTTATTATGAGAGATGGAGATGGAGATGGTTGCAGAAAATGTTTGTTGAAGGAAATTGAAGAAAGTGTTCAAACTGACAGGTAGATGGGCAGTCAGACAATGAAAGTGAGTGCATTAAACCCTTTTAATTAATTCTAAATTCGTATCTGTTCCTACATTTTATACTCACCCATTGCCTTTGACCTCAAACACTCCAAAAGTTATTCCAACTTTTAACACACTCGAACTCTGATATCTAATTTGTTATGTGAATCGATTAATTTCAGGATAATCATCTATTTTGCAGATAATCTGGAGTCATCGTGCCTGAATCTTCATGACCAGAAGAGAATTTTTATATCTCAAAAGAAAGGTAAGTTGTGGGTGAGATTTACCGACACAAATGAACCAAATATTGGGGTTAAGAGAGGGAGCGATCTACTTTTCACCAGATTCCAAGGAGGAGAGCACATGAGGTCAAGAAACCAGTCAAACATTAAAAAAAAAGAATTTAAAAAAAAAAGAATTAAAAGTTGGGTAACCCAGGTGTTTATGTTTTATTTATTCATTTAAAAATTATTTTATTTTATAAAAAAGATTAATAGAAAACGAGAGTTGGCATCCGGAATCTAGACAGCGGGATGCTAGGTGTAGTCTTGAATAGAATCCACTCCAAACTATAAGATATTCCAAACTTTTAAAAATTAAAAATTAAAAATTAAAAATTATAAAAATAATTAAGTTATTTCGTGAAATGAAAACTTTCGGATTTTGTCGTATTTGGTGTTACTGGTTATCTATATCTATAATCTATACTATATTATAAAACATTTGGTTAAAACTCTTAAAAACTCTTAAAACTCTTAAACTCTTAAAAACTCTTAAAACTCTTAAACTCTTAAAAACTCTTAAACCCGTTCATCCCTATCCGATTTCATCTCATATCTGAATTCGTGTAACTAACTGCAGATAAACACAATCAAATACAGGATAAAGATCTCATTTTAAATA